AGAGGAGATTGGAGAGAGGAGACTGGAGAGGGGGGACCCGCACATATGCTATAATTTGGACAATTCTGGTGCTCAACGCGAACATTTGCTTAAATGGAATTATCGTTCAATAACCCATTGTTGCTTTTGCTGCTGCTGATGCTGCTGCAGATGCTGTTGCTGATATTCTTGTTTCTGGTTGCTGTTGCTGGTTCTGGCATGCAGCACCGATAATGGCTGGCCACGTACATGCGCTCCACTCACACACGGGCCCCTATGCCCCCTCTTTACTTCATACTTGTAATATAATCCATTTGACTAAAGAAATATACTAGTATCAGGCCGGAGCCTGCAGGAAGTTGCCCCGGACATGAAAGTTAGTGTCAGGTGTTCGTGTTAAAATGCCAACTAATTTCAGTATTTTGGCCAAAAGCTGATGGCCTCCGACTGGCCATTTAATCAATGGCCAGTAAACTGTTTAGCAGGCTGCATCGATGCTTTTTTTTTGGGGAGGGGCTGCATAATGAAAACAAAACCATTATATACATAATACGAGTTTTGAGCACACAAACTTGTCGCAGGAAGTCAATGACTGCACTCAGTTGCATGGAGAGGAGTGGGGAGGGGAGTGCAGGAGGGCGTTGCCAGACATTTTGTCCATTGTCAGGGCGAGTATATGCGTCTAAGTATGGCCAAGATTGCACACGTTTTGTCCCTCTCTCTCCGCTCTTCCAACTTTGCCCCCTTTGCGCTTAGTCAGCGCAACGAATGTCAACGAATTTTATTCATTGCAGTTGTCATTGTTGCTGCTGCTGTTGTTGTTGTTATTTTTTTTTGTTGTTGTTGTTAGCGCGACAACAACACATCGAGTGTGGGTGTAGGTAACGACGTGTATGTCCAACTGTCCAAGTGTCTGTCGGCTTGTCTGTTTGCATGCGATTCGCTTAAATTATGATACTCGACCATGATAAAGTGGCAACAACAGTCACCAGGCCAACTCACAAACACTGTCGTCGTCGTCGTCGTTGATGTTGTTATTGTTGTTGACGTACATTGCACGCCTCCACGGACAACGTCTTGCTCTGACCCAGCGGCAAATGCAACAAAAGCATTAGCCATGCTGGAGAGCACTGAACAATGACAAACCGAACGTGAGTCGCCAAACTTTTAACTTGGGCAACGAGAAATGGTTGACCAAATAACAATGGTAAATATTAAGGAAGCTTACTGACTTATTATTGTGTTGGGATGTTTTTGAAAACTACAATTTTAAGTAATTTTGAAGATTAACTTCAAAGAAGTTTCTATTGTCAATCGTACATTTGTTGATATTATAAAAAATTAAAACTGACTAAAATTATATTACATCTACAAGAAATGACTGAAAATTAATTGTTTCAATATATTCGAAAGGAAACTATTTTTAGAGCAAAGGTTAACTCAAGAAAATCATCTTCTAAATATCAAAGGCCAATACTCGTTATTGTTTAAGGTATGTAGACTCTTTGATTTACATATTCCCACTCACTGTAGACCCATCTGATGATATTAAAATTTGAATGACATTGCTGGCTGGCAAACTTAATAAATTGATTTGATTAAGAGCTGACCAAATAAGACTCGTTTTAAATTGAATTGAATCGAATCGATTATCAATTTTCCATTTCAAACTTAAATATTTTTTAAGCGTTTTACAAGTCTCATATAGCTTGTCATTGTTCAACAAAGTCATCTCCAGCCACCAACGATGTTCCACAAAATTGTCTGACACAAATAGAAGATTATGAAATATTGTGTATACGCCCACGATAATGATGGCAATAAATATTTCGAAATAGAAAACTTCGCAAAGACTTGAAATTTGTTTGCTTTTATCTGACACAAAACAAAAACTTACAAAAAGCTCATAATGTTTTGTTTGGGGCGCCAAACACATAACCAAACAAAATGCTACTCAATAAAATATTACCAAAGTATGTAGTTGGAGCAGGCCAATACAAATATAAAACTACAGACCAATCCGCGCCCATCTAATAAATAATTTGGCAGTAAATCAATGCGCAGCAAAAAATAAACACAAACAAACACAACAAAAAGTTCACAGGCCGCGTCTTATCTTTTGGAATTGCGGCGCATTATTTAAAATCGCATAAATAAACAATAATAAAATTGAGTAAGTCTACAGCGGCAACAATAACAACGGGCAAAAGCCAAATAAAACGCAACATTAACGACCAATTGGATGGGCCCATTAAAAGGTTCCCTTTGCGTCGCCGTCTGGACGGGATCGGGGGCTGGAAACAGCTACGAGAATTGTCTCGATCATTGAGGCGTTCGCAATGAGGTGCGATCACCGCCAGAACGATTCAGCAAAACCACAACCAACAAAAACAAAAAACAAACTCAGACACAGAAACAGATACAGATACGAAAATTGAATTCGCTGTTGAGGCTTCATTTTCATGCGCTTTGCATATCACTTGGACACAGCGAGTTGACCGAAAATTTATAATTTCATTGAGTGGTCGAAACACAGGCGCTGAGTCGGTCCGTTTCATTATTGGAATTAAGCAATTTGGCGTAATTTAACAACACTTTCGATGCATAAGTCTCGACTGCCGCCGCCGACGCCGTCGTTGCCAAATGATAACAATGAACCACTGGCCGCCGGACAGTGGAACTTGGGCCGTCTGTTGAATGACCGTCTGCGGAATGAACAACAGACCGATGCCGACTGTCCATAGTCACGTCATTAGTTCAATTGTTCTCTGTCTGGCCGGGTCTGTTACGTGGATCCGTGTTGGGTCTGGTTATGGCTCTGTGTTGGGGTCTGTGTCTGGGTTGCGGTCTGCGATTGCGATTGGGTCTGCGACTGGCATTGCTTCTCAACACGTCTTTAGCTAGCTTAATAATGGAGCTCATGCACGTTATAGATATGGTTATGGCTATGGCTGTGTGTGCTTTGTTGTCTTTGCGTTTGTCTCTGACCGTAATTAGCCGCAAATGCACTCGAGCTTGTTTGTCCAGCCAATCCGAAATGTCCATTGAATATTTGAAATTTATTTACAGCTATAAGATAATTCATCAATGTAATAATGCCATATGAAATTTCTTAAGATATTAAATAAATATTTTAAAATCTTTTCATTCTTTGAAACTGTTATCCTCCTGAGAGGCAGAAAGTTATATGTTCTGGTTTGAGTCGAATAACTAAATTTTTTAATTGTTTTTAATCAGATTTTTCAAGCATGTCATATACATATAATAATATAAATCCATCACACAATTATATATTATATTTAGGATTTATGATGTACATTTTAGACTTATCTCAATCGTTTTCAAATTGTGCAAGAGAACCCCATTATAACCGTAATTGAATTGCCCGAATCCGACATGGTAAATATAATAAGCGTTAAAAACGTTTTAAATCAATCAACTCTTTATGACTCAATTGAGCAGACACCTTCTGGCCATATGCTCGAAGATTTAATGCAACTGCTTTTATGACAAGACACACGATTATCCGTAGTATAAATCAGAATGTTTACAAAGCAACACAAATATTTTCCAAATGGCGTTTGTCTCGTTCAGCTCTTTGGGCAAACAACACTTTTGTTTATAGCCGTTTTACGGCTCTCTCAGGCATTAGCTGAAGTTTTACGATGGCGCTTGCACTTGTGCCCAATCAGTGGCGCAGTTCAAAGGGACACCGAAGCGGACTCCAGCTCTAAGACACTGGATGATGACAAGTGCCGTGCCTATCCTGGCTGTCCTGGCAGCCATGCTTGCCATTCAACACATCATAAAATCAACGGCCTTGTTGCTGTTAGTGCTGCTTTTACGATCTATAAAACGCACATAAATCGCTACGGCGAGGGTGCAGAGACGAGCTGCACTTGGCGTTTAATTGCCGGTGGTCCGGAGTAGTGCATTGCCCAGTAGCCAAACGAGAGAGAGAGAGAGAGAGTGGTGGTGGGTGGCTCAAGGTGGTTCATAGTGCTAGACGGAGACGGCGGCTCGTGGCATCAAACAAATCGACGACCGCATTTTGTTTACGACTTTTTGAGCTGTAAAAATGTCGTAAACGAAATTGTTATGAATTGCGGTAAATTAAATAAACATCAAATGCCAAATGTTTTTGTGTCTGTCCGCCCTCCAACTTGTGTATGTTACGTAGGTGTTATGATTATGTTTCAAGCGTCAAAAAAAATAAAACACAAGTGTTTAAAATGTCGTTAAACAGTTGCTAGGAAGAAGAGCTGCCTTAAGGATTATCTGGCAATTATGATCGGGCTTAACGGGTTGGCTAGTTTAATGGGCTGCGACCTGGCAGCCATAACTCACGTGTGCGTGCCGCTTATCAGCCATTACGATGGAGACGCTGCCACACGATATCCGCGAAGAGGGGAAAGCTCATTTCATTTGGCTTTTACCCGTAAAGCCCAAAAATGTGACCCCAAAACCAAAAGAGAAGCCAGCAACGACGTCAAGAAAAATCTGGCTACAATCACAGATAGAGATAAAAGGTACGGAAAGAAGCCATAAAGGAGACAAACAACAAGCCAGCAAGGCAACAACCACGCTGCTCAGGCCCAGAACCCAGGCGTATACAACATTGGAGCTACGGCCAGAGGGGAGCGAGGGTAGGTGCAGTATTCTTTCTACCTAAGCAACGTGGGCCATGGCTCTGGCTCGGGGTCTCGGTTAAAGGCCCGGGTCTGGTCAGGCCAAGCCTTTAAACTGGCCCGTCGCGAACTCGTTGCTGTTATTGTTGCTGCTGCTGCATTCCAGCATAGCAATGACCGCAGCAGACATTGGGTTTTGTTGGTATTGTGATTGTGTTGGTCGCACTACAGCACAACATACAACAGGGCCAACTCAAAAGAAATGTCCAAAGCAAGAACAACAGCAATAACAACAACAACAACAAGAATAGCAGCGTTCCATAATGGCTGCGACATTCATTCGCATTCGTATCTGTATCTGTTGCGGTGCCCTGCAAGTTGCAAGATTTAAGATTGTCAACCATGTTGTTTATTGCTCTCTTAAGATTTTTCTTTAGTTTCTGTTCCTTATTTCTTTCTTCAGATTTCTGTAGCTGTTTGAAAGTATTCATGGCTGCATCGCTGCGTATTCCGCGGAATTACTCAAAACACAACGAACGCCTTTTGGGAAAAAAGCATGAGAATGCGAAGAGATGCGGGTCGAGCATCCAGATGAATCTGCTACCTTGTGTGATTTATTTCAGGACTTCGACTCTTACCCACTCTTCGAGCCATGTTTTTTGGCAACAAATAGTTGAAAATTATTTCAAAATGGTTCCAAATGTACAGTTAAAAGAAACTTATAATTTTTGTCATATCTATGTGCAATGTAAATTATATTTTAGTTAGTTGGTCGAAAGTAGTTAGACACAAGAAAGTTAGAATCGTATATATTTTTATTATAAATAACATTTTAGCTTGATTTTAAGCCTAATTGTAGAAGTTGTTATTTATGAATATCAAGTGAGCTCTGCTACGATGAATAACTTTTTAAGGTTTATGAATTTAGATACTTTTCAAATCTGTAGCTTAAATATCTGGTCAGTTTCGACTGCTATAGATTTTTCATATTATCATCATTCAAAAACTGATAGATCGCATATAATCAATAACAGCTTGCTGTGTAAAATCAACTGACTTCAAGTGTGTTATATTTAGAATTAATAGTATAAGGCTAGTTTAATTTTAGAATAACTTACTTGTAAAATTTTGTCCTGTTATTCTTATCCATTCATGTAGTGTTCCATTACTCCGTCATTTTCATTATTTCTTAAATCAAAGACACATTCACAGTGGATATTTAATTTATATATCCATATACGCACATCCTTTCGCCATATGTTTTTTTTTTTTTTTAATATTTTTCATATTTTTTGCACAACCGAAGGATTTTTAACTCATTTTGCCTTGGTGTATTGCCGTCGCTTGGTTTTTAGTTAATCCGCCACGTCCAAGCGGCCGGGTACTGAGTTTCATACTGAGTGTTTACAAAACAGCAGTCGCCGATCCCTAAACCGATCCTGTGTCTGATGCTGATCTTTGCCTGTTGGCTAAAGGGTCACGGACATCATCATAAATCATAAATTTCCAGAGGTTGCAGCTAAAAAACCAAATCCAAAACAGTTTGCTACGCGCCGTCAAACGCGGCGGGAATATGTTTTTTTTTTTTCTTTTTATTTTCATATTTTCTTCTTTTTATTTTCATATTTTTTGCCAAACGCCATAAAAAGATCGTAAAAAAACGTCTGCTTGAAATTTCCGCTTAAAATGCGTACCAAGGTCAACTCATCAGCACCGGCGGCCATTAAAAAAAAGGTGCAAGGCTCACCTTTGCCAGAGCGAAATAGCGATATGCTCGCTCAGCTGTTAATGGATGTTGCTGCACTGCTCTTTGGATGCACTTGTGCGTTTTTAATGGTCGGCAAATGCATTTGGGAACCTGCTATAAATTCTATGGTTAACCTTGACTTGGTTATTTTTCTTGTGTTTGTTTACTAAGCGCAAGAATTATGATTTATTTTTTTGCACTCATATTTTTGGGTGCGGAAAATTATGCAACCTGCTTTTTATTTCAGAATATTGTGAAAGTTGCGCTGTAGCATAATTGTTATTGCCAAGGTTTTAGCTGCATTCGATTGACCTCCGCAGCACCGTTATGGCCAACACACTCCGCTGACATCAATTGCAATTGCTGCATGCTGCCAAAATTCAACCCGTGTTGCAAGAGTTTAACCTGTGCATTTTGTAAAATAATATTTCGACTTCTTTTAAGGTCTTGCTGAACATACAAATTTTATTCAGTTAAATTGTTGACCCAAACCGGAATACACAAAAAATACTCGATTTCCACAATAAACTTCAAGCGGAATACAAAAACTAAATTCACTCAGTTTCGTGTCTCGAGTTGAGGCGCCTTTTTATTGTTTGCTTAGGGGTTTCATGTACGATGCAAATAAACGAATGCATGAACATGAATATGTTTGCGTAATTAAACGAATTTTATAGACTTGAGCTTGTTTGGGGTGAGTTACAATATTAAGGAGCCACTAATCATTATGAGCTGCCTCTGGCAGTTGCTCGAAATTGTATATGCTTAAATTTTCCATTTCGTTTAAGACAATACAATAATTGATATAATTGATTTCCTAAAGAAATTCTATATTGAATGTTTTACACTCAGGCTTCTTATTGACAATTTGAAAATTCAAAATATTTAATAAAAATCAGACAAAGGTCATAAGAAAATTAATTGAATAAACCATTTAATGTCTAATGAAAACATGATTAATAATTGAATTTGACTGCTTGTAAGCTGAATCATTTTATCAGCAGTCAAATGCACACATTTCTCTGTGTGTGTTTTAGTGGACTTAACTCATGGGGCTAATTAAATTCAACGCACACGCTGCTCTCTATTTGGACGTGTGGCTAATTTCTATAATACGAGATCTGCCAATCAACGCGTATTTGAAGCGGCACATAATTTGAAATGTGGTTGGTTTTTTTTTGTTGTTGCAATTTGAAGCGCGTTATTAGCCTATCCATAACATAATTAATCCTAAACACGCAATTTGTGCCAAATAATTACATTTAATATGGCCAGCACGGCCCATGAAACTAAAGCTGGACCCGTAGTCGAGCAGCAGGCGCCCCGTAATCCCCGTAATACGTATATACATGGCCCCTCCCAATGGTATACAAGGGTCCAATTTGTATTGAAATGCTTTAAGTGAAATATATGACGGTTAATTAAAATGCATTTTACATTTACGAGTTGCCGCTGTGTGGCCATAATTGCGAGTGCATTAACAATTAGCTGACCGCATTCATTATGCTCTCGTTTGGAGCCCTTGCAGCAGCAACATGCAACATCCGAGTGCAAATGATTGGCGGACATTGTTGTTTCTCTGCATCAGCCACACTCTTATAGATCCAACATCCTAGAGCAGCATATAGATATATATATATATATAAATGTATATATATTTCACAAGGCACAAGCTGCGTCCGCCCACCATTTCTTCTGGGCACGGGTCCCTGAGTCCCAATTTATGTGGCTCGAACCAGCTCGAATGCTAAATCTTTGCCTTTGCCTTTGCCCCTGCTTCTGCCTCTGTCATTGCCTGGCAGCGGGGCAATAAACACGCGTATGCCCCAAGTCACCACACCCACCGAACAGCCAACAGCCTACAGCCTTCGCCCCCGCCTCGCTGGCACCAAAACTCGAGCTTGACCAGATTTCAGAATTGACTCCAAAAACTTTGCCTTAGACGACAGCGCGGCGACTTGCGTCGCAACCAACACCAGCACATAAATACACCACATACATGCATATATATTTATATATATGTATATATGTATGCGTATATATATTACTGTTGCTGTAACAAGATTTAATTTCGTAAAAAAGTTGCTCTTGCGAAATTTACGAGGAGTACATGGCGAGTGGTGGCGTGTTGTTTGTGTATTCGCATAAAGTGTTGCCGTCCAGATTTATGCGTCATGAATAAACCCGAAGGGGGCTACAGGGACCGAAACAGGACAGCACAACAACCAACGACAACCATTGCCACAACGAGCAACAACAACAGCAACAACAACAACACCAGCAACTGGAGCTCAAAGTTTTTCTCGGAAGTAAGACCACCAAATGGCTTATACATATACAGTAAACGGGTCTGAGTACATTTTTCTCATTACAAAGATGCCAATAAATGCATTTCGTTTACATAAGGCATTATTTGTTTTTGGCCAAATGGAAGAAGCAGAAACTACCACTCACAATTGAAGAGGTTATGTTGGGCGTGTTCGTCATTGATTTTTACATGGTTTCCTCGCCAAATCCGACTGACAATGAATATTAAAGCTTAGTAAATTAAAAGCTAAAGAGCTTTCGAAATAGGCATAACAACTAAGACAAAGTGTGAAATAAGCCAGTTAGTCTTATGATTCATTATTCAAAGATTTTTAGCATTTGATCTTCAACCACAATATTGGTCTGGATAAAGACAAATATTAAACAAAATAATATTTATTTCCGCAAACGAGTTCTATGTCGTTCAGAATAGTGGCAAAGAACGTGGATATTTAATTGAAACTCAATGCGAGAGGCGCACAAAAGTAGTGGAAAACAATTGCACGTGGGACACAAATTTATCGAGTTGATTAAATCAAAAGGGATTGCTAGCAGGCAAGCAGCCCAGGCCAGACCAGTCCAGTCTTGTACTGAGTCTTGGCATGTAACTGAGGCTGGTCTAGCTGGCCATAATCCAGTAGAACGCCATAAAAGCTGTTTATGGTTTCGCGCTCCTTGTGCGCCATAAATCGAGCGGGAAGCAGAGGTTTGCGCCGGAGTCTGAGACTGGGAAACAGACAGAGTCAGACTCTTGCAGCCCACGAGACTGGCGTATATAATTTAGTTATAAAAATAACTGCAACATGCAACGCTGTAAGATGAGATCACTGGCAATGGGCGGGCGAGCAAGTCTTGCCAATGCTAGAGCCAAGCTGGAAATGGCCCGAGGCTATCCTAGGCATGAAACATGACTGGGGCTGGTCAGCTGGCGAGCGGCTGGCGGCGGCGGCGGCGGCGGCGTCATTATAAATTAAAATTAAATGAAGTGCGTGATTTTATTTTTTATTTTTGCTGCACTTTTAGCTTTGCTGTGTAATCGAAAAAATTTCGATTAAATTATTTATCAGTCATTTTGCATCGGTGAGTGGAAAATATATATTCGAGGATTTATGCGCGTTGGCAAAAATGCGATTCGATTTATATTTCCATAAAAAATGGCGGTAAAAATGTCAATTAAATATTTTTATCAGTAGATTGCAACGCGGATGAGTAATTGCATTATTTACGGCGCTGCTGGGCAATATAAAATGCGCACTGAAATTAAAGCCGAGCTGAGTTTCAATTGGCCACGTCAACATGGCGGCATCAACATGGCTCAAATGCTTTTGCTGCAATGCTGTACAACTCATAAATACGCCCGGAAGCCGCTGACACAATTGCACATGCAAGGGGGTCGCCAAGAAGGTGGAGGGAGGTGTGTGGGCGAAGTGTACTCGCGCATGCAACGAGTGTGAAATAAATTTTGCCAGATTAAAAATTAAAAACGCAAACCAACACAACTCGGTGACTTCTCCACCTCCTTGACTTCTTCGCTTTACCCGATGCAGCTGATGGCAGCCATGCAAATGGCAAATGGCAAATGGCAACTGGAATGGTTCCTCAATTGCTGACGCTTCATTTGAGTCCCAACTGGCGGTCCTTGCCTCAGCTATTATTAGAAACATTTGCAGATATTTATGGGACGCGTGACGTGTTTTCCACTAT